CTGTAGTTTGCCGGATCCACTTTCCTCCCTTTCTTGAAGATAGGTACCACATTGGCCTTCTTCCAGTCTTTGGGCACTTCACCAGAGCACCAGGAGTCCTCAAAGATCTGTGCCAGAGGCTGGGCTATGATGCTCGCCAGCTCCTTGAGTATCCTGGGGTGTAGATTGTCAGGGCCGGCTGACTTGAAGGTATCCAGACTCTCAAGGTGTTTCTTTACGAGGTCAGCATTGATGGAGGGCAGGGGATCTCCCTCACCCGGACCTCCCTGTCCCGTAGTGGGCATGGGCGTCTCATGGGACTGATGAAAGACCGACACAAAGTACCCATTTAATAGGTTGGCTTTTTCTTGGGCGTCAGTTGTCACTTGTCCCATCTGGTTTAGCAGGGGTCCAATGTTGCCCTTGCTTTTCCTCCGGCTCCCCACATATCTGAAAAAGGACTTTTTATTGTCCTTGATACTCAAAGCTAGTTGGAGTTCAGTTGCAGCCTTGGCTTTCCTGGTTTGCTCCCTGCAGGACCGGACCAGCGCAGAATATTCCTCCTTGGAGGTGAATCCTGTCCTTCATCCTTTGTAGGCCTTTCTTTTTAGCCTCAGGAGGTCTGTTAGATCCCTGAAGAGCCAGGGGGGCTGCTGTGCCCTCTTGATGCTTTTCCTCCAAGATGGAAGAGAATTAGCTTTTGCATTGAGGATCGCTCCCTTGAGGAGCGACCACTCTTCCTGAACTCCCCTCTCTCTGGGGTCGTGGTCCCTTAGGGCCTCACTGACAAACCTCCTGAGCTTGTCAAAGTCGGCTTTCCTGAAGTCAAGGACTTCCATGTTGCTGACTGACTTGCCAGCTTTACGGTGGATGGTGAAGGTGATCAGCTCGTGGTTGCAGTCACTCAGCTTCCCATCAATCACTAGGTCACCGATTAGGTCATCCCCAGTTGCCAGTACCAGGTTGAGCAGTGTTTTACCTCTCGTTGGCCCGTAAACTTCTTGAGTCAGGTAGAGGTCATCCACTCACGATAGGAAGCTTTGCGACCACTCAGATTTTGCTGAGTGATCCTTCCATGAGATGTCTGGGTACTTGAAGTCACCCATGACAACCATGGTCCTGGAGCATGTGGCTTCAGCCAGTTCCCGGGCGAACTCCTGGTCAAGCTCTTGACTTTGAGTGGGAGGTCTGTAGTAGACTCCCACCATTGTGTCCCCTGTGCCGTGTTCCCCACAGATTTTAACCCAGAGGGTCTCCAGTTGTCTACCCTGGTCGCCAACATCAGCTTGCAGGGATGGGTAGCTTTCCTTAACATAGAGAGCTACACCCCCGCCCCTTTTATCTATTCGATCTCTCCTGTACAAGGTATAGCCATCTATACCCATGGTCCAGTCATGGGTGGAGTCCCACCAGGTCTCTGTTATCCCTATGATGTCATAATTATTTGTGTTTAAGCAGGAGGACGAGTTCCTCCTGCTTATTCCCCAAGCTCCTGGCATTTTTGTACAGGCAGGCAAGTGTCCCCTTGGGGGCTCTTGCCTTGCCCACAGATTGTACCAGGGCTGGGGCAGGGGTGGGCTCCCTTAAGTGCCTTGGCCTGCGGGCTTTTCAAGGGTTGCTCAGTGGACCAGCAGTGGTGGTAGTCCCCCCGTTCCCTGGTGGACTTAGTTTTAAAGCCTGGTGGAGCAGGTCAGCCAGTCTGGCTGAGAAGAGCCTCTTACCCAGGGGAGAGAGGTGGAGGCCATCTCTTCCCAGCAGTTAGCTGCCTCTCTTGGCAAAGAGTGGACTGTGGTCATGGAAGCCGAAGCCTTCCCGATGACACCAGCGCCGCACTCTTTGGTTAACTACCTGAATCCTCCTCTCGCTCCGCAGCCCATACCCTGAGACTGGGAGGATCGAAGAGAACGCCACCTGTGCCCCCAGGCCCTTTAGTTCTACTCCCAAATCCCTGTAGCGCCTCATGACACAGCTGGGAGTGCTCTGAGCCGTGTCATTGGTGTCCACATGAATAAGGAGCATGGAATAATGGTCTATGGGCTGGAGGAGCTTAGTTGGACATGGTGTGATTTTTTTTTTTTTTTTTTTTTTTTTTTGGGTGTGGATTGATTAATACTTGTAGATAGCTCTCTTGCTCAAGGATATCTAACTGGGATTCAAATATTGACCTTTCCTATATGAGTAGTTAATTATCAAGACACCCATTTTACATTCAGATAAACTAAGGCAAAGATAAGTTGAATCCAAAGCACCACACTTGGTTCTCTAAGCTGGGCAGCTAACCTCCATATTAGCTGAATGGCTAAACATGTGAGCTAACTAAAAGTAAATGCACTATGGGATTTTCTAAGAGCTGCGCATGCTTTTGCTTTTGTGACTTCTGATGCACTGTGGCACTATGTGGCCTTGTAGAAGTGCCATACTGGGTCAAACCACTGGTCCATGTAACTCAGTATCCTGTCTCTAACAGTGGCAGGAGTGGATGCTTTAGAGCAGTAGCAGTTAACTGGCAGCACATGTGCCACAAGTGGCACAGACAGCCTCTGTCTGTGGCATGTGGCAGATTGGGGATGAAACAGGCAGCACAGTGGTAGATAGGGTAGGGATAATAAAACAGAGCAGAAGATTGGATGGGGGAAGGGGTCTGGCATGGCAGTTGTGGAGGGGGCAGAGCTTAATATTTGCCATGCGTGCCAAAAAGATTGCCCTCCACTGCTGTAGTGGGTGAGTATTGAATTGAGTACAGCTAGAGTGATCTACCCCCTGTTCATTACCCTCTCTGGAATTCACTGCCATTGGTTTGGCGATGCCTCCAAGCAGAGGATACATCTCTGACTGTTCTTTGTAATAGCTATTATTAGATCTAATGTCCATGCTTTTTGTCTAATCCATTTTTGAACCTGGCTGTACTATCTGCTTCTACAACCTCTTGTGGTAATGAGTTCCACAAGTTAACTATGCACTGCTTTTTAAAAAAGTACTTTTTCATGTTACTTTTAATTGTCTGACTAAATTTCAGTGAGTGCCCCCTACTTTTAGTACTCTAGGTTTTGATGGAGAATAGTTGTCTTTTAACTTTGTCCAGGCCCTTTTTCCAGACCCTAGGTGTACCACACTTCTTGCTTTATTTTAAGAAAGAATGACTGATGGAAAATTCCTCCTTGCTATGTATAGCTTTTCTGATTTATTTACTTGTGATTTTTTTTATTATTATTATTTCCAGAATAATGGAAGTTCAAGTGAGTTTGAATGGACAGTCTTTCTTCACTGACTCGTTAACAATTACTGCTTCAGAATGTGTAAGTAAATAATGAACATAATTTAATGTGGACTGTGGAAATTTTGATACTTGTATAGATAACCTTATCCTCACATAACCTTGTGGGTGTGAAAATCTTAAAGAAGAGCTATAGCTCTTCAATAATAGGTGAAAAAACATAACTGTAAAACTACATTTAAATGTAGGGATATATAATAATATCTCCTAAATCCCCATTCTAAATAAGTGTAGATTTTTTGTTGTATAGAAATTCAGTGCTCCCAAAGAAACTTCAGCTGGCTGTCTGTCCTTGATGAACTGAATGGTAATGAACAGATTTTTCTGCAGTTATAATATGTCAAATGATTCATTTAACGTTTCCTGTTAAAAGTGGCAGACAACTGTATGTTTAGTTAGCATTCTGCTGTGCATGAATCTATGCTGAAAGAACATTTCCATATATATTATGTTAAATTTCCAAATAATATACAAATCACATGTTTTGCCCAGCATGATTAAATGGATGACCTTGTCTCCTGATATAGATTCTACAGTAGGGATGCTCAGTCCCTCACCTGTGGATCAGATCTGGCTCTGCTCATTAGGCTGGGCACACAGGGCAGTGCAGGACCTGATCTTGGAGCATGGGGCTGGACAAGGGTGGGACAAGGTCCCAGAACTCAATCCCAGCATGTGGGACCAGGCAATGACAGTGTGGGTCCCCAGAGCCTGATCCCAGTGTGCAGAGAAAGATAGAGGTGGTTTGGGGCCCTGGAGCTCAATCCTGGTAGGCAGAGCTGGGTGGAGGTGGCTTGGGGCTTTTGGATCAGCCCTACACCACTCATCTGGCCTGTGGGGCCAAAAGGTTGACTGGCAGTGCTCTGTAATATATATACAGGGTTTCCTTTTTTCATCACCATTGCTTCTTTTGAAAATTTCTTCAGAAATTTCTGAAGTTAAATTCTCTACAGAAAATCTAATTATAAAGGGGAAACAAGGGGAATCCCCCTTTTCCTCCAGCCAGTCTTTTTGCTGCTTCTAAATGTTCCGTACCCCGTCAGTCAGGAAATGGAATTAAGTTTTCCATATGTGCAGTGCCTCTCAATCTGCATTATTATTTCCTCAATATGTTGAGATGCATTATAGTTGCTACAATGTGCAACTATAGCTTTGAAGCCACTGGGTGGCTTCCACCTCTGTAGGGACCTGCCCTCCAGAGCAGGTATAAATACAACTACATCAAAAGAAACATTTGTGGTATAGTCATTCACTGATCTAGTTATGACATTCAGGGGGAAGATCTGGAGAGGGGGGGTGTGGTGCTGCAGTTGCACACCCCTTTGATTCTTGGTCACTGCCTGGTAGTGGCCATGGAACCTCTATACTGGCAGCAGTGAGGGAGTAAATTGACTTCATAGCTCATTATAATCTACTTGATTCCTTCTGAACTCTTGATTTTGTAGGTGTTAATGACCCTCTTTCCTTTTCTGCAGTTCTGCTGTCTGTTAGCTGCTCCTAGTAATGTAGTTCCCATTTCATAGTCCTACAGGTGTGGGGTTTTTTTACTCTAACAAGAAACATTTAATCAGGTATGGAAATGTTAACTCAGGTGAACATTAGCTCAGATGTAGAAATAATTTTCAATGTGCTATCCAGATGTTCCAGGAAGCTTGATTTTTGTTTTTTGAATCTGAACAAGAGACGTACCTTTAATATATGTTGTGTTATATGATGATCAGAGATCCAGGTTTTCCATTTCCCATGACAAAATGTGGATTTTCCCCTTTAAAGTGAGAAACCATGAATTTCCTTTGTAGGTTGACAGAGCAGCTACCAGACAGCAGAATTGCAGAAAAGGAAAGTGTGTCATTAACACCTACAGAATGAAGAGTTCAGAAGGAATCAAGTAGATTATAATGAGCTATGAAGTCAATTTACTTCCTCACTGCTGCCAGAATAGAAGTAACTTGGGGCTGTCAGGAGCTGGAGAGGGCGATGGAAGGTAGAGGGCACCACATGCATGTATGCATTCTCACACATGTTGTTGGCAATACAGCCAGGCAGGGTGGTGGGAGCAACTCTGGCAGCTGGATAAAGATAAGTTTGTGGGCCTGTGGGAGGGGGGTAGTTGGAGGGCCAGGGCTTTGGGACCACAGTCCAGGCACGCCCATTGGTAATGTGTCAGGGCAGCATGGCCTCTCCAGATTTCTGCATGGACAGCAGGACATGGGGCTGCATCCTGGCTGGACTACCACTGGGTAGGGGCTGCCTCCGCAGTCCAGCAGGCGGGACCCGGTGTGGAAGGGCAAAGTGGGGCAGGGAGACTCAGTTTCGATGCCGCCACTGCTGGAAGCTCCTCACCAGCTGTACCACTAAGGTGACGTGCCCTGTCCACCTGGCAGGTGGCGCCTCACCATGGCAGGCAGTGTAGTTGGCACGGGGCTCCCAGTGTCAGTAGCAGCATCAAGTCTCTCTGCTCCATGCTGCCCTCCCATGCCAGATCCCACCTGCTGGATTGTGGGTGCACTCGGGGAGGGCAGCAGGGCTGGGAGCCCCAAACCCCACAGTGGGCAGCCCACATCCTCCTCCCACCCTCACTCTCCACGGGATCTGCTCAGCTCCATTATGGCCATGTCATCCACAGGCAGGGGAGGGGAGATGAGGCCAGGCTCTGTGCTTCTCCCTCTGCCCCAAGTACAGCAGCTGCTGCCTTTCACATGTGGTAGCTGGGGCTCAGGTGCTGCTGGCTGGCTGTGGCTGGCACCCACAAGAGCAGAAAGTAGGGTTTGGGCAGGATGCAGCCTCTGGGTCCAATAGCCCTGGTAGCTGGGGGCCTGCTTTGGCAGGGCTGGGGGCAGGGCGAGGGGCTGCAGGTTGGAATTGAGAGGCACCAGTGGGGATGGGGGGGGGGCTGTAGGTTGGGAGTGAGGGGCACTGATTGGGGGTGAGGGGCACCGGCATGGACGGGGCAGGGCACTGGCATATCAGGACTGCTCAGCACCACAAAGCAGCTGGGGGGACAACCACAGCTACATCCACATCCTGGTGTGCAAAGAGGCAGCTCTGATTTTCCATGATAAAGGAACCAAAATCAAACAGCAAAATATATAGGTATTTAGAATTTATTTTATTATAATGATTGAGGAACTGGTAGGCTTCCAAATTTCTTTAAAATTGTAAGTATACCAATAAAACATTGTTTTCAGCTGCTACCTTTATATATAGTGGTGTTTCATTTTAATCACAGAAAAACACAGATTTTGAGGGTTTTAATCAGAGAATTTTGGATTTTTTAACAGAGAAAAACCAGGCTTCCTGGTGATGATGCTCCGCACTATCTGCACCTCTTTTTTCAAAATCCTAGATCCACTCATGACAACATGGTTCCAATTAATAGCATAGGCAGGACCACAGTGGTGGCACATAATCTGCCTGAACCTGCGTAGATGGAATCTCAAGACTTTAACCAGGTGTTGGAAGACTGTGCTGGTCTCGATCCTACTGATTGGAATCATGTTCTAATTAGATTACAAGGGAAAAACAAATCAAAACCTGGTCCGATGGCACAAGTGTATTTAGAGTGTGGACTTGCTTCCTTAACTAGAGTAGTGGCTTTGCACAAGAGAACACTTAAGTTCTTGTAGGAAGATATGTTTTTGCTAGGTCACTATGCAGTATCAAGGGCATTCTTGAATCTTTTGTAAGGAAAAAAAATCCTAAATTTCTCTAAAACTTTCTCTAAATCTTAAAGCTTGGCTTTAGTGTAACTTTATTTTCAGGTTTGTAAATATAAAGAACAGTGGAATCTGTTACTCATATATGTGTAAACAGTCAAATCTTGCTGAAATCAGTTGGAGTTATGAAGACAGAGGGCAGAATTTGGGGTGAGGGGGTGGTTTGTGTTTGTTGAATTGAGAGAACAGTAATGTGAATTATATTAATATTCTGCAAAGTACAGGCCAGTTCATCTGACCTGACAGTGACTTCACTCCTTGGCTTACCTTACTGCATGTGATTTCCAATGAGATATTAATGTCTGCAGCCAGTTAACCTGGTGAAGAAATGTATATTTCAATCGTTGAAAAATTTAGAGTTTAAACAATTTGGGGGTTGATGTCATGTCCAACCAAACTTTAGATTTTAGGGGAGGGAGCCTGAATCTGCTTGGAGTCGGGCAGATTCTGATTCAGTGGAGCTCATATTATGGTACTTAGACAAAACCTTTTTAAGATTTGCAACTCTTTTTTAACCTTATCTCCCAATCTTGTATCAGTGTCTGGCAATGCAATATCTTGATTCCATGACCTAAAGACACAGCAGTCATGGAAAGGTGCTTCATTATGATATGAAATGTACTGGTGTTCTCTTTATCTTCCTCTTTCTCATGTAGGTGAAGGGACAGCTGTATTAAAACTAAAAATTTACTTTTACCCTGTATAAAAAGTGCACAGAAAAAACAAACTGTTAAATTACCCCCAGAGCTACAGTATTGATTCCTCTGATAAGTATTCTCACCATTACTTACATGTTGTTACTCTGTGGTTCAAAGATCCAACAGGAAACAGAATAGCTACAGATGTGCAGTGACAAGAAAGCCAGCACTTCTGCTCATCCTTTTTGTCTTTTCAAACATGCTGCAGTAAAGGAAGTGTTACACAAGTAGAACTCGTGTTTCCATAGTAGCGGATGGGCAACTGCCTGGAAATGGGTCACTGCTAGAATTGTTCTGCTAATTCTAATTGCTGAGCAGCTGATGGTTAGCCTGGTGCAAGGAGTCAAAAGTTTATAACTTCCCCCATTAAATAGATATCGCTGCAGCGAAAACAAGGAGTGGCATCTAGGCCTGGACATGAGCTCCTAATATTAGCATCTTAAATGGTCACTTTATATAACATGGGCCGTAAATAATGTTTAACTCAATTCTGTTGCCATTTATACCAATTTTTCCTCAGTGTAACTTCTTTGACTTCAGTAGAGTTGCTCTTGTTTTACATCAACATGTGTGGGAAATCTAGCCATATCTTTTTACATTTTCTTTCTCCTTGATCAGAATTTGAATAGAGTTTATGCACAAAAAACACACCAGCATTTTTTTCTGTTCTTGGCATTGGTAAAATTTCTACTTGTCTCATGCATGTTAGCAGAGTTTGCCAGCAGCTGCATTTTACCATTGTAGAAATGAGGCTGTAACCACCTGCACAGATTTTAGATTCTGTTTCCCCTTGTGGTGGACTGGGATCACTCAGGTGCATACGTAACTGCTTAAAAAAAAAAAAAAATGGCTGAAGAGGGTGACCCTCCCATCTGTTAGCTGAACAGTCTTGTGGTTAGAGCACATGTCTAGGGGAACCCCACCTTCCCAGAAATTGCACATCCAGCTTTTCAGCAAGCTGCTCAAACCACCAGGCTATAAGATAGCATATTATAGCCCATAGTGTTCTCTTACCTTTTGTTTGAAGGGCCCAGCAGGAGAGGGATTGTGGCTCAGTGAGACAATTACTGCCCTGAAATGGGATAGAAACTGTTAAGCTGCTGTTTTATCCATTGTATGCAGCAAATATTAAATGCAGAGTTCAGAAAAGCCATTGGGCTTCTCCTCTTGCTCTGTTTCTTTTGGCAGTTAGGAACCTATTTGGATGATCCTTCTTCACCACAAGGGGAAACGGAATATAAAATCTGAGTAGGTGTAAAAAAGGGGCATGTATGCATTGCATTATCTGCATTCATGCATTATGCAGTTAAGTAGGTAACAACTGTGTAAAGATAAAATAATACTTGGCCCTAAGGGCCCCTCTACATATGCAGGTAAAGGTGTGATGGGATCTAATGCATTATCTGCACAGTATGTAGCAGGAAGCAGGATTGTGGGATTGTAAATCGGATCCCATCATGCCTTACTGCTAGGGACCCATTTAAATTGTGGTAAGATTAAACGATTTTTGCAGGTTGGTCGTGGCATGAAGAACCAGTTTTACACATTTCTCAGATGTGCTCTACCAGCCCTGCTCCTTGGCACTGATTGGCAGAGAGGCCCTGGTGTGGGGAGGAGGGATGAGGGGGCAGCTGCCATCTTGTCTGCTGCCCTTCATGTTGCCCCACCAGCTAATGCCTTCCCCCCAGGTGGGCTGTGAGGCCAGCTGTGGCAATGAGGACCACTGGTTCCCATTGGGGAGGCAGCTTTTTATTTTTATTAAGGTTTGTTTTTTAAATTGATTTTACAGGCAATACAAGATCTTGCAATTTCTGCAGAATTGTGAATTGAATAGACCCCTACTTATTGCCGGTGCAGGAGGAGCCCAATCCCAGGCTCCCCCTACGCTGACAAGAAACAAGCACCTGTGGCTGGGGGTCTCTCTCAGCTGTGGGAGTGCATAGGGCTGCTAGCCACAGGGGCACATGGCCACACATTCAATTAATGGCATGATAGGAAGTAGCTACAAAATGATTACACCTTTTGGATAATTTCTCCTTTTATCATGCCATTAATTGATTGAACACATGTCCGGGTGACCACTTAAGGCATGGTTAACTGGCAGATGGATGCCTATGTCCCCTGCAGAAGGGAGTCTCCAGCCACCACGACCTGCCACTTGGTGGCAGTGGTCTTAGTCCTCCCAACCTTGGGGATGCCTGGCCTGGCCTTTTCCACCAATGGAACATGTGTTGTCTTCTCTGTTGCTAGGGCTGTGTATCTGTTCTCTGGGTAAACTGCTGCAAGTGGAGATTTCTGCTTGTTGCCACAGGTCACAAGCTTCCAACTTCTACCTTCCTTCTCTAGCACTGCCTCTGGCAATTCTTCCTCCACAGTCCTAGATGTCTTCTCCAGCCATGAATCAGTGAAGTCCCCATGGTAGATGATGCTTCATAGCTTTGCCACCTCTTCCTGTAGCTTTCTTGCCTGCTCCCTGAGGGACACCACCATAAGGCACCGCTCACATTGCACACTCCCTCACCTGGCTATTGCTGAAATGAACCTGCAAGCTGCAGTCTCCACAACACCAAATCAGGACCTGGGTGGAAGCCTCAACTGTGAGCGGTCTTGCCTGGACAGACGCCTCACTGGTGCAAGCAGAGGAAGAGCTGGCAGTGGCAGTGACTCTGGCACAGGGACATCCTCCAGCCATTTTTCTGGTTCTCTTAATCCTCCGCCTCTCTCTTCCTGCCCCTCTTCCAAGCAGGCCTTCCTTAAAGTCCCCTGTAATTTGGCCTGTTCCCTGCTCCTTGGTCCTGAAAGGCTTTGTTTTCCCTGTTCACCTGCTTCTTCTCACCAAGCTTACAGTGGAAGAAGGTGAGAGAGAGTTTCCAGGCAAACTCCTTGGTGAATTCCCCCTTGCTCTAGACTCTAGGTAAACAAGGGGATTAAGTATTGGTCTAACTGCTGAGTTTTAGCTACTTAGAGTAACTAACCTACATATATTTTGTCTTAATTAAAGAAAGAGCTTACCTGAAAAGCTTCCCTTCAAGAGGAGGGTGGCAAACTAACCTGTGGTCTGACTTGTGAACTGTTTGCTTCTCCTGTTCGCTTGCTCGCAAGGGCTTTGGAGTGTAGAAAACCTCTGGACCCTGGGGATTGCAGCTGCTGTGTGGGTGTGGGAAATCCCTGAGACCAGAGGATTGCGGTGATCCTGGAGCACTCCCATGCAGCGATCTCTGCATTCCTCGTGTTCCCCTGCAGTGATCCTAAGGCCCCGGGAGTTTCCCTGCAACCCCAGAAAACAGGGTTCACTCAGATTTGCTGCAGCAGCAATTCCTCCAGCCTCAGGGGTGTATTTGGTGCCCCCATGGCTGGGAGCCCTTCAACTGGGAAATGTGGGTCTCTCAGCTGCAGGAGTTTCCTGAGGTAGGGAGAGTCCAGAATCTGGCTCCCCCTATACAGGTATGATGGGATCTCATGTGCAATCCCACAATTGCATCTCCAGCCAGGCTCTGGCATGGCAGGAGCTGCAATTTTGTGAATCACACATTAGATCCCATCATGCCTTTAGCTTCACGTGTAGAGGGGGCCTGACTATTTGCACTGTCCTCTGAAACAATTAGTACTGGCACTGTCAGGGACAGTCTAGGAAGTCCAGAGCACTGGCTTCGATTGACCACCATTCTTATCCAGCCTGGCAGTTCCTATGGGTCTTTTTTTAACTCCCCTGCAGGACAAGTTGAATGTTAAGGTGACTTATTTTTAGAACATAAAAGCCCATAATAGAGTTGTTGTATTTCCAAAAGGAAGTACTAAATGTCAGCGCAGTAACAAAGGTGCTATAGGGATACATGTAGATGCACCCAGCAAGTACTTTCACAGTAGATGCCTTTTGATTTAGGCAACTGACCTCTCTTGCCTCCATGTTATTCCTTATTCTCTTGTCACATATGCCATCTATTTCCTTGAAGATACTTATGATTTACACTGATGTAAGTGAGAGGAGACTCAGACTTGTTATCTCTATTGGTCTCACTGTTTTCTTGGTCCAAGGAATGCAGAGTTAAATGCAGTTTTCAGAGTTTTGAATTTTTCAGGTTAAAGATATATGGCATATTGGAGGTTGTAGCCTTAAAACTGCTGATGCACTGATATTCTCCAGAGCCAAGAAAGTTTGTGGAATGAAAGGATACCAATTATACCTTTTTAATATCTAATCTTCCCCATTTTGTAGTTGCTTGCATTATCTGTGTGATTCTGCTGGTCTATGCTGTGTCTTTATTTAGGGGTCCCTTGTGACATAGCGATGCCCATGGATGAAAAGGGAAATTGCAGGGTGTCTGAAGCTGACTCTCACATTAATTCAGCTTATAATGAACCTGATCCTATTGCTGTCAGAAGGAGCTTTGTCTGAGTAAGGTCAGTGGGAAATGGTCCCACTGAATAGTCACTTTCTCTGTGGGAATCCGTGTGTAGCTATGTCTGAAAAAGAATTATTCTCCAGTGACTGTGTCTCTTTTTACTTCTCCTTTCTCCACAGTCTAATGGTATAGCAGCACTTATTGCTGTTCTTATACTGTTACTTTTGGTGGCTCTTGGTCTCTTCTGGTGGTTCTGGCCTCTCTGCTGCAAAGTGGTAAGTAAAAAGAAAAAAAAAAGTCAATATCTAGCTGGTATATCACTTTACAAAACATAATCAACATTTTCTTGAAGTATAGATTATTTTTTCAAACAGTTCTTGAAAATAAGTAGTAATCCAGAATGATGGCTGTTTAGAATGGGCTAAAGTCAAAAGTGTATATAATATAAGATACAAGTTTAGGGTTTATCAGTGGTATATTGTAAACCCCAGAAGAGGTCAGTTTCAGCATAAGCAAGTAACTGTGCTTTTTGCAGTGCTGGCTTCTCTGACAGAAATCTAAGCAGAGATGAACAAGGAGAGGATGGGTGCATCTCCTATTGGCTTTCTCCTAAATGAGCAGATATGCTTTATTTCAGTGAAATCTTTGATAAAAGCCTTTCCTCTTTTATTTGAAAGTTGCAGGCTATAATGGTGGGCAGATGTTACCATGAAATCAAGGACCTCTTTAAAAGCACGAGCAGTAAAATTTATATTTGTAGTCCATTATGGAAGCCTAAGTTAGAAATCCCTTATTTTTCTATTAATCCCTTGCAAAAAATTAAATTTTCATCCTGCACATATTGTATCTAGTTTCATCTGAATAATGAACAGTCTTTATCTTAGCAGCAGTCAACAATGATGCTTCAATAGCTCTCCCTTTGTTTCCTCACATCAGGGGTTTTATTTTTGTGGAAGGTATTATCCGTTCAGTTAGTCGGCAGTCCTAAGGGCATGCTGATATGTTCCAGCATAGCATAATATTCCCTCCACTTGGTCTTGGTTTAGGATTGGTGTCTACTGGAAGGCCGTGAAGCAGTGTTCCCTCTAAGCTGTGTTGCGTGCCTGCATGGCCGCGCACACCACACAGCTTAGAGGGAACGCTACCGTGAAGGAATAGCCCTTCTCCATGTGTTCTCTGAAACTGCTGGTGAAGCCTCAGCTATGAAATAGGTGCAAGGCCTTAAACATGATGTGGAGCAGGAAGGCCCCCACTTTCTGTAGAACCTCTATGATCTATGGTTCTTGAGAACCCATCTGTAATGAAAGAATGCCTCTCATCCCACTTTCATAGGATTGTTCCAGGAAGGCATCCTTTGGTCATTTAGTCTTTCAGAAGCCTCTAGCCTGTGGGTTTTTCCACAGTGTGAAGAAAGGTTTCTTATTTCCTTCATTTTTAAAAGAATTGGGTCATTCCTATTCAAATGAGTGGTATGGCCTATAGTGTCAGGTCTATAAGTAGTCTTTTCCAAGATGGTATTATGTGGGATACAATAATGCAGAGAGGATATGGTAGGAGTGACCTTCCACCAGACTTCACATTTTGCATCCAACAGAAAATCAAATTTTCCGGGCTTCAAAGTCTCGCCCTTTTTTTAAAAGTATAAATTAAAAATCTTGTTGACTTGAAGTGTGAATTTTCTTGCAAGGTCTCTAGTGAGCTGGAGGCTTGGTAAGCATTTGCAGGATTCTTAAAAATATGATTACACGCAAGTTATATTTTGCCATTTTTTTTTACAGTCTATTTACAGTGATCAGCACATCCTTTCTCGACAGCTGCCTTCTCTAACAAAGAGGCCTGTTAACAGTCATCCTGTTCCTGAGTTTTCAATCTTTCTTTCTATTTTATTTAAAAGACAAACATACTTATCCTTGAGTTGATTGACATCAGGAAACGCTAATGTTCCTTTAGGTCTTCAAAGCTCTCAGAACTGCTTAACTTTTTGTGACTAGCTGAATGTGGATGTCAGTCAGAATAGAGTTCATTCACCTCTTATATAGATAAACCCAGAATCAATCTTTTTCAATTGAAGGAGATGCATATCACATCAGATTCAGTTACACATGTCACTAACTGTTTGCCAAATTGATGTTTTTCAGAGTTATGCTTTTGCATACTTACTGCAACACTTAAAATATGAGAAATGCTTTTTCCAATGGTCAACATTAGAAAGTCATCTTCAGCTTACAGTGCTGTCCTGCTATCGTATTTTCCTTTAGTTAGAGCAGTAAGTAGTGGCAGTATCTTTAATACCTGTGAGTTGTTGTAACTATGTTTATAGGTCTGGTCACCCCACAGTAGCCAAAGCTCTATTTGTTTCCAGAATGGAGCTCAGGGGGCACCTAAACACTGCCCGTCTCCCAGCAAAGGCCATATCATTAGGTATGCTCAGAGCATTCCCAATTCACTATGATGCAATTGAGCTCCATGCAAAGCCCAGCACCAGGGCCACTGTCACTCAAAATATTATAGGCTGTGGTGGCAGCAAATAATCCTCCAGGTGCTGTTCACCTAGGACTCCAAGTCCTGCCTCCAGGTGGACCTGGTACTGATTTGGAGTCCCAAAGGCTAAGGACAGATCTTGCATTTGTCCCTGGACCAGTTGTGTCTCTGTTTGTCCTGAAACAGGAATATCCCAGGATTGGCATGCACATATATCACCGTTCTTACCAGGATTTAGTGAGTATTGGAATGCACTGCCCCTTTTCTGCCATAGATTCAATGATGCAATCCCAGGACAACTGTTCAGACGCAGTTTGTGATGTCTTGGAATAAACTGTTAGTACTTTTTATTCTGTGAGCCTTTTTAGGATTTATCCTAGGATAACAATATGGACATCTGAATTTTTGCACTTTGTCCCAGGAAATAATGGTTTACCCCAGGACAAGTACAATGTCTATTTGTAGCCCCATAGTGTAATGTGTACATGGACAAGTATAACAGGGGGCTTTTAGCCCATTACTTTAAGAGAGTATAAGATCCACATGATAGGATCACATTAAAGCCAAGACCCAGAGAAAAATTGAGTAAAAGAACAGGTGGTAGGAAGACAAAGCAAAAGAGATTCAAAGGTTTGCCAACAGTCATGATATGTGTAGTTTTGGCAATACAACCAAAGCTGTATTTGGCCAAGCATATTCTTTACAGACAGTTCCACCATCAACATATGGTAAAAAGAGCACTTTCAAGAGCTCCTGAACTGAGATTCTAATGTTGAAGACAATACCATCAAAGCCATCCCACAACACTCCAATAAGGACTGACTACCTTGCAGATCCACCAACTTATTAAGAGGCCTTAAACATCTTTAAGTAGATGAAAAACAACACATCACATGGTCCTGTTGGAACACCAGCTGAAATTTATAAACAAGGTGGTAAAAACTCTCTTACCAACTACATGTCATTTTGAAAATCTGGAAACTTAAACTGATTCTCAGCAACTTCAGAGATGCCATAGTCATTTCCATATTCAAGAAAGGAGATAGATGTGCAGCAATTATCATGGTATTGGACTCCTGTCCATAGCTGGGAAGATCCGTGCCTGCATTCTCCTCAATAGATGCATATCCCTCACTGAGGAGATTGTACCTAAATCCCAATATGGTTTCAGACCATTCAAAAGCACAGTAGATGTGATCTTTGTTGCAAGACACCTGCAGGGGAACTGTCATGAGCAATGCAGATCTGTTCATGGCCTTCATTGACCTGACTAAGGCCTTTTGTTTCAATCAACAAAGAGGTCCTATGGAAAATCCTGATGAGATTGATATTAACAAATTTTGGTGGGCATCCAAGACTTCATCATGATGATCTGACAGTAGCCATCTTAAGAAACAGCTTGGAAGTGGACCTTTTTGCTACTGGAACTGGAGTCAAGCAAGGATGTGTGATTGCACCAACACTCATTTCCATCTGTATCACACCTATACTTCCATCTGGGAAGTCAGCATCCAGTATTGCATGGATGGGAATCTCTTTAACATTAACTGGTTACATTCCAAATCCAAGATAACTAACATCTGTATTACTGAGCTTCAATATGTTGATGATTGTGTTATGTGTACCTCACAAGAGCTTCAGGTCATTCTTGACTGCTTCTGTGAAGCATCCAGTGGGTTGAGTTTGGACTCATCAACCTCAAAAAACCAAGCTCCTTTACCAACTGACACCAAACCAACCAGCTGCTCCTCCAAATATTAGTTAGAGTGCAATCCTTGGAGAATGTTGAGGATTTCCCCAATTCAGGTACTTCCACAAAAAGTAAACATAGATAACAATATTCAAATTGGATAAAATTTGCTAGTGCTGCCTTTGGATGTTTCTGAAATCATGTCTTCAATGATTATACATCAGGTCCTAAACCAAACTTCTCATCTACTAAATTGTTGTCATTCCTTCTCTGTTGTATGGGTGTGAAATGTGGATGACATGTCAGAAACACTTGAAAACTTTAAAATGTTACCAGCAGCAATATCTTTGGAAAACCCTCCATATAAATTGAAAGGACAGAAGAACAAATGCCAGTGTTCTGGCTCAAGAAAACACAACTGTTATTGAAAACATGTTTATCAGGGCTCTGTGATGTTTCGCCGGCTGATTGGAGGAGGGTATGGGGCCCGGGGCAAATCAGCTTGTGCGCGGGCCTGCTGCCGCCCCGGTCCCAAGGTGCTGGCAGGTCGCTGCATGAGCTGATTTTCCCCAAGCCCTGCACCAGAGCCGATCGGAGGAGGGTGCGGTGCCCAGGCCTTGTGCGGGGACTCACTGCCACCCTGATCTCGAGGTGACAATAGGTCCCCACACAAGCTAATTTGCCCCGGGCCCTGCACCCTCCTCCGATCAGCTTTGGTGTGGGGCCTGGGGCAAATTGGCTCATGCAGGGACCCACCTCGGAATTGGGGTGCAGCCAGGTCCCAGCATAAACTGATTTTCCCTGGGTCCTGTACCAGAGCCAACCTGAGGAGGGTGTGGGGTCTGGGGCAAATCAGCTCCTTTTAGGGACCTGCCTCCTCCCCAGGCAGCAGCACCAGCCTCCTGTGATCCAGGAGGCAGATCAGGGGCCCACACCCATGGGAGCAGTTCAGCACAGCCCTCGCAGCCCTCCTGGGAGTGCAAGGGAGCCCCCGATTTGCCTGTTGGATGACACAGGGCTGGTGCTGCTGGCTGGGAGCCTGCATCCAGCACCGACAAGATCGGGGCTGCTGCTTGCCCCCGCTGGGCGCCCCAGCGGTGCGGC